AGGCGTGGGGGCCTCTGCATGTCTACCTGGTGGTCCCGCCGTGCTGGGCTTTCCGTCCGCACTGCGCACGAGTGGACTGGCCCGGAGGCCCAGGCTCGCAGCTTGCCCCGTGGACACAGCAGCCACGGTCCTCATGGTGTCCCTGGCGTGGGCTTGGGAGCCCCCCTGCCCTGTCCTCGCTGGCCCTGCCGCAGAGGGGCTGGATGCTGCCCGAGTGCCGGGCTGCGGGTGGAGGCGGCGCCACACAGGCCATTGCAGCCACAGAGACCCACTCAGCTCCGCTACCTGCCACGGTCAGAACCCGTTCGGGTTCGAGTCCCCAGTACCGAGCTTCTCACTTTGTGCTTTGTTATATCTTCTCGGTTTATCGGGTGCCACTCCTAGGGCTTCTGCTCAGGGCCCGGGCGCTGCCTCTTAGCTGTTTTTGCTTCAGGCTGGCTCTCTCCCGCCTGAAGCAGCTGCACGTCTGGCTTTTGGTGGTTAATTGGATAGGAGTCTCTGGATCCCTGTGGCTCCGTCTGGGTATGGCTGTCCAGGCGGGGCGGTGTCTGTGTGGCTGTGGCTGTGAGCGGGCCGGAGTCTGGTCGCCTTGGGCGGCTGGGCTGGGCCGCTGACGGCTGCTGGCTGGCGCGGGGTGGGGAGAGGGCCTGGGTCCTCCTGGCGGGGGTGTGGGATGGGGCCCGCGCGTGGCCCTGGCTGCTGAGCTGTGGCTGCAGGACCGGCCCCTGGGCCTCTGGTGACAAATCTCTTTCACCATCTCCTGACCCAGACAATTAATTGCTTCTGGCGATCGATGGATCCATGGTGGCCCTGCTAGCCACCGCCCTGGCCCAGCCAGCAGAGCCCGGGGCTGAGGCTGGTGGGGGTATTGCTGGGGGGGGGTTCCCCTCTTGGGAGATGGGGGATGGGGGGGCAGGGAAAGGGAGGGGGAGAGGAGGAGGGGAAGTTGGGGGCCTGGGTGAGACCCGGGTGACCGGGAATGAAGGGCTTAGCGTTGTGCTGGACAGACAGGTGGACAGGCAGATGGCGTCTAAGGGCTGCCTGGGCCTCTGCAGGCTCTGGGCCTGGCCGGCGCTTGGCTGTGAGCCAGGCCGCTGCAACTAGCGTGCCTTCCGCCCGCCAGCGGTCGATGCCGCTCCTCCTGGCCTCTAACTGCCCTGGTGCGGCCGCTGCCGGCTCACAGATGGCCAGGGGCGCAGGTGGAGGTGGCGCCCAGGAGGGTCTGGGACATGGTGGGCGAGCAGAGGACAGGCCCAGGGCAGCAGGCCTTAGCCCAGTCTCCCCACTGTGGCTGGCTGTGTGGGGTGCTTCGGCCTCCTGGGGGCTCATCTGTGTTGGTGCGGTGGGTGTGGTGGAGACCAGGGCCAGCCGTGAGCGTCGCAGGCTGCTTTTACAGCCCGGGTGCCTGTCCTGATTATGGTTTCATTGTTTGTTTGTTTGTTTTTTTGGCCTGTCCTTGAACTCTGGGCCTGGGCGCTGTCCCTCAGCTCTTCAGCTCAAGGCTAGCGCTCTACTACTTGAGCCACAGAGCCACTTCTAGCTTTTTCTGCTTATGTGGTGCTGAGGAATGCATGCAAGGCAAGCGCTCTACCACTGAGCCACCTTCCCAGCACTACCTCGGGCTTTTTTGAGTAGTTTATTAGGTCCCACGAAGTTTCCTGCTTAGGCTGGTTTTGAACCACAACTCTCAGGTCTCAACCTCCTGAGTGGCTAGGATTACAGGTGTGAGCCACCGGCGCCTGGCTTGTTGGGTTTTTAAGACAGATCTTGCTTTGTAGTCCAGGCTGACCTCAGCCTCACCATCTTCCTGCCTCTGCCTCCTGAATACGGGGTGTCAGCGGCTGCCAGGCGGCCCCTCCCGCGGCCCCGGCCGCTGATATGTCCCCGTCACGGTGGCTCTCTCGTGGAGGCCTTGTGTGTCGGGACCTGGACCGGTGTCAGGTTGGGCTCTGAACTCGAGTTCGGTGCCGTCTGTGGTCCGCCTGGTATCCCGTTTCCATGACCATCCCAGAGCCCCTTCCTGTCTCTGGGGACTTGGGTGGGTGCTCCCGGCAGCTGGGTCAGATGACCTGTGAACGCCCCCATGGGGAGAGGGGGCTGCAGGTTCCGGACTCCTCTGGGGCCCTGGGGGGGAGAGGGAGCTGTGTCAGCTGGCTGGGGACCCCTGGCTGTGCGTCTGCACTGAGGCCACGTGTCCTCGCTGGGCAGAAGGGCTGACCCCTGGGGGACACAGTGTCCCCTATCCCCCTCCCAGGACGGCCTTGGCGTCACCTGTGCCTAGTGAGGTGCAGCCTGCCTCTGCCTGGCGTGGCTCCTCATCCTCCGCGGGCGATCTAGGGCTGGCCTTGCCCTCGGGTGATCATTTACCCAGTCCCGGTGGTCTGTGTCCTCGGTCCCTGTCCTCATTCCTGCTGCTTGGCCACCAGCTTGTGTCCCCTCCCCCCGCCTTGTTCAGGTCCCTCTTCCGCCTGAGGCCCTGAGCGGCTCCTTGCTCTGGGCCTCCCCAGTGCAGGCCCCAGCTGCCCGGGCTCGCAGTCTGTCCCCTGCCTTTCCCCTGGGGCCCTACTGAGTTCCTAGGTGGGGCTCGTGTGCCGGGGTGCGGAGTCGGGATGCCTCGCACTGGCTCCTCCAGCGTCTGCAGGATTCGGGCTGGTCAGCGGGCCTTGGCGGCGGGAGGTGACCGGCAGAGGGCGGCTGGACCCCAGCTGCTCCTGGGGTGAGTGCACTCCCCGAGACGGGGCTCTGTCTGTCCATTACGGACAGGCGGCAGGTGGCCGGCCGCCCAGGCCTCCAGAGCCCGGCCCGCTTCCCTGTCAGCCTTCTTGCAGGGCCGGTCTCGCAGGACCCAGGGGCACACGGATGGGAAAACACACAACGCCGAGAGGAAAGGGGAGAGGAGGGCAGGGCAGGGCAGGGAAGAAGCCACCGGACCCTCCCTGTGCGCCCCTGCCGCCCCACCCCTTCGAGCCTGGGCTGGGCGGGCAGAGGCCAGCTCTGCCCCACAGCCTGGCTGCTGGGCCTGGGCGAGATGGCCAGAGCTTCCAGAGGGTCGCGGTGGCCGGGCTCAGCAGCACCACCTCCAGTAGCTCTGAGGCGGCCCGCCCCACGCAAGGGCAGAGCAGAGGCCAGACTGGAGCCGGGCGCCTGGCCCCCGAGCCCTCACGGACATGGCTGCCCCAGCCCCCAACACCGCGTACGCAACCGTCTTCTCTCTCTTTTTAGTTCCTTTTTCCTCTCCTCGTTTTCATGCCAGTCCTGAGGCTCGAACTCAGCACCTGGGCACTGACTCTGAGCCTCTTCGCTCAAAGCGAGTATTCTACCCCCTGAGCCACAGCTCCACTTCCGGTTCTTTTGGTGGTTAACTGGAGATAAAGCATCTCATGCTGACTTTGAACTCAGAGCCTCAGCTCTCAGTCTCTCGGTAGCAAGGACCGAGGCATGAGTTGCTGGTCCAGTTCCTTGACAGGCGCTTGAGGTTGAGGTGTGTGAGGGCCTGGGTCTCCAGGATGACTTGGAGGAATCCCCTTGGTTTCAAGGTCAGGAGAGGGGAGGAGAGCCCACCTCGCCCCCCCTTCCCCCCCCTCCACTGTCCTGAGTCACTGGCCAGGCCGGGAGTGGCAGGCGGGGTGGTAGAGGGAACCTGTCTTGGCGGGGAGAGGCCAGCACCCTGCATCTGCAGGGTCACGCCCTTGGCATTGTTGACCCCCACTTTTCCTGGATCCTGTGCTCAGGGCTGGGGTGCATAGCCTGGGGTTCCTCAGGGTGCGCCCCGTGTGCTTGCCCTGTGCTCTGAGCAGTGCGGGTCGGCCATGGGCATCCTCGGGCGTGGAGGCGTGGGTAAAGGCAGTCTCCGTGTGACTGGGATTTCCTGTCCGCCGTCCTGCACAGCGCGCTGCTCGTGGGAGCCAGTGGTGGCGGAGCTTTCTGGGAAGGTTGTGTGTGGTGCGTCTGCCGCCAGCCCGCCCTGGGTCCTGTCCCCACCCGTAACGTCTTGTAAGTGCCGCTCGCTAACCGATTGCGCCACTGGAGCTCCAGCCTACCCGGAGCGTCTGGCTGCAGCACACCACCGGCCGCCCGGGTCCTCTGTGGCCTCTGGTTGTCACTGCGTTTTGTCCTCACTGCGGACGTGAGTGCATCGCATTGACCAAGTGTGCGTGACAGGTCGGGTTTCAGGCTCTTGCGGTCCTCTGTCCGGTGGGTGTGGTTGTCACTGCCACCCGTGGCTGCGTAGGTGACCTAGAGGTTCTTTGGTTTTATTTGGATGCATGGCATTTGAACTTGGGTTTTCGTGCTTGCTGGATAGGTGCTCTTCCTGCAGAACACGCCCCCAGCCCTGTTTTTTTTTTTTTTTTGGTCAGTCGTGGGCTTGAACTCTGGGCCTGGGCGCTGTCCCTGCACTCTTCAGCTCAAGGTGAGTGCGCTACTGCTTGAGCTACAGCGCCACTTCCGGTTTTCTAGTAGTTTATTGGAGATAAAAGTCTCACGGATTTTCCTGCCCAGGCTGGCTTTGAACTGCTATCCTTAGATCTCAGCCTCCTGAGTAGCTAGGATTACAGGCGTGAGCCACCGGCGCCCGGCTAGCCCTGGTTTTTGTGCCCCCTTTCTGAGCTGGGGTCACGCACAGCCCACCCATGTTCACTTCCCAGTAGCTAGGAAAGCAGGTGGGCACCGCGGCATGCAGGGCTTAGGGCTGTCTGAGGGCTGGGCTGTCTGCGCTGGGCTTGACGGTGGCTAAGCCCCTGAGGACTTGCAGGCGTGAGCCCCGGTGCCCGGCTGGGTGTGCGGAACGTGCATGAGGCAGGGGTGTCCAGAGCGTGCCGGCCAGGGGTCGTCTGGGGAGGCCTGTGGAGGCCTGGTGGTGTGGGTTTCGGAGTCTGGCTCCGGGGTGATGGTGGGAGCCCCCCGGCCTGTGGGCTGGGCGGGCGGGCCGCACCCTGTCCACCTGCGCCGCGTTTAGTAACACAGCCCTGTGTTCTCCCGCAGGTCTCCCCACGGCTCTGAGGACACCGCCTTGCCGGCGGCAGCTTCTGGTAGGTGCATGTCTGTCCGCGGCCTGGTCCTGGGACCGTCCTGGAGGGGGTCGGGAGGGGACACCGCTGGGACCGGTGTGTCCCTGTGGCAGCGGCGAGGGAGCAGCGGGCGCGCGGCCACGGGCTGCCATAGCAGAGGTTTCACCCTCCCTTTGCTGCGTGTTTTTCTGAAGCACCGACTGCGTGCTGGGCTGGGCTGGGCGCTGGAGAGGACGCCGCGGGTGTGGACGGCTTCCTGTCCTCACGGGCAGAGGGCGTGCGGAGGGCTGGGGAGGCGTGGGGTGCTGGAGGGCACGGGGTGGGCCTCCTGGGGGAGATGGCGTTGGAGCCAAGCCCTGAGGAGGGGCCGGGTGAGGGAGGGGTGCGGGCAGAGGGCACCGCCTGTGTAGAGACCCTGAGGTGGCGTGTGGGGCTCCTGTCCACAGATCTGACTGTCCGGCCACATCTCTTTGTCCTGAGCTTTCGGGGACCTCCGTGGCACGGCTGGGGGGGGGGTCGGGCCTCCAGGCCTCTGTTTTCCTGTCGCAGCCACGGTCGTGGTGGCGGCTCTGGGGGTGGGGGGTGCTGCCTGGGGGGGCTGGGCATCTGCCCTGGGCATCTGCCCAGCCCACGGCCTGCACCTCAGGCACATCTCTCCCCCGGGCCCCCTCGTCCCCCTCCTGCCCACCGTGCCCCCATTCAGCGTTTCTGCCCACCACGCCAGACGATGAAGGGCGCCTGGCCGCCTCCCCCGGTGTTCTGCAGGCCCAAGGGAGGAGGCAGACAGGGGCCCCCTCCCCTCCTGGGAGGCCCCTGGGGTGGGACCCCGAGGCCCGGGGGGGCCAGGAGGGGCACGGGCACAGCTGCTGGCCCCGTCCTCGCAGAACAGCTCTGGGCCTCGGTGGGGGAAGGGGACCCGGGCGTGGGGCCTGGGCAGGGCTGCGGCTCCCTGTCCCCCCGGCGGTGGACGGGCGTGGGGCGGGGCTCTCGTTGCCTGCTCAGGACACGCTCCCTGTACCCCCCTCGTGGGGCACCTCAGATGCAGCAAGTGGCGGTGCTGGGGTGACGGTGCGGCCGCGGCTCTGCGCAGGCCCAGGCCCTCTCCCCCGAGGCGGCACCCTGGCCGTGCGGGGACACGGAACCCCAGCCCTGCTGCGTCCCCCTCCCTCTGCTGGGTGCGGCCCTGGGAGCCCCAGCGCCCGGGCTTCTCCCCATCCTCCCCGGAGGCGTCGGGCAGCAGGCAGCAGTGAGGTGACCGGCCGCAGCCCGCGGCCCAGAGACAGCGCCCAGCCGGCCTTCCCGGCCGTGGAGCGGCTGCCCGTGCACACCTGCCCGTCCTCGTCCACCTAGCGGTGGTACGGAGTGTGCTCTGTCCGGCCTGGACCCTGGGCCGCGTGAGCTGGGGCTCCTCCTCCCCCGGGGAGCCCGGGGCTGGAGTGGCTGGCTGCTGGTGGGCAAACCTGGGGCCCGGCCCGCCTACCCCACCCGCTCGAGAGTTGGGGATCCTGAGCTAGTGGGGTGCGCACCCCAGCCCTGGGGAGCAATGTCAGGCCAAGGCTCCCCAAGAGTCCCTGGCTCAGCTGGGCTGAACCTTCCTGAACTGGGGGTGCAAGGTGAGGCGGGGCTCCTCCTGAGCCGGAGGGGTGTCAGCTGAGATGGCTTTTCAGGGAGGGAGACTCACAAGTTAAATAAGCAATCTGTAAATGAGTAATGGACTAAGGGGCGCCGCATCACGTCCGCGTGGCCGCTGGGTAATTGCGCTTGCTTTTTTTTTTTGTCAGTCATGGGGCTTGAACTCGGCCTGGGTGCTGTCCCTCAGCTCTTCAGTTCAAGACGAGTGCTCTGCCACTTGAGCTACAGTGCCACTTCTGGTTTTCTGGTGGTGTATTGAAGATAAGGGTTTCACAGTCCTCAGATCTCAGCCTCCTGAGAAGCGAGGATTACAGGTGTGAGCCACCGGCGCCCGGCTCACACTTGCTTTTAATCACATCCAACCTGTGTCCTGCGTGCGACACAGCCCCTCCCCCTTCCCAGCTGGGGGGGCAGCGAGCGGGGCCCGGGGGGTAGGGCTGCCACAGGACGCTGCCTGCAGCCGTGTTCCTGGTTGATGTGCACCTTCTCATCACCCCTCCACAAAGGGAAACTGAGGCAAGGAATTCTGGGGTCCTGCCTGTGGTCCTATGGCAGGTGAGATTTGGTCACAGGACTGTGGGCTTCTCACGTTGTCCTAGGGAATGTCACGAGTGTGGTCCCCATGCCGGTCCCCAGAGGTGGACGCAGGGTGACCCAGGTGGCCAGGTGCTGGCTCCCATTTTCACAGAAGCTGTCCTGGCCTGTGATAAGGAAGGTGCCGATTGCGTCCCCTCTCCGCCCCGCCCCGCCCCTTCCTGCCCCGCGTGTCCATCTGGTCTGGTTGGGCCGGGTGCAGACGGTGAGGCTGCGCAGTGCGGGAGGCCAAGCCGCGGGGTCTGCGGGCAGCACACAGCCACGCGGCCCCGAGGGCCTGCTGCCCTCGTCTGCGGACGCCTCCTGGGGTGCCTTGCTCTCGCTGTAGTGGGCAGGTGACAGCACCCCTGTGAGGGGCTGTTGGACTGGGAGCCGCTGGAGGGAGGGGCTGCTGGGGGAGCTGGGGTGAAGGTCCGGCCTGGAGGAGGAGGTGGTGGCTGCAGAGGGCCTACGCCTGGCCTGTCACCCGCACCCCAGAGGGCCCACAGGCCCCCAGCGCTGTGTCCAGCTTTGTGGGAGGGAGGCTGAGACCGCTCGCGGGGCGCACAGCTGGCACTCTGCAGGGCTTGCGTGGCACCACCCACAGCCGTCCGCGGTGCACTAGTCAGGGCTGCCGCCGGCCGGCTCTGCCTGCGGTTGCAGGTGGGGCTCCCTGGGCCTCCGGCGTGCCCAGCCCCTGTGGGCAGGGAGACCTCTCTGCCAGCCTCCGGCGGGTCGCAGCGGCAACGTGCCAGCCCCGCCTGCTCACGGGTGGGGGTGTGCAGCGCGAAGACCCCAAGCGCAAAGCCAGAAGCCCACTGCTGGGGGAAGTAAGTGGAGGGGCGCTCGGGCCACTCTGGTGTGGGAAGGACTTCTGTGACTTTAGATGAGGGAATTGCAAAGAGCCTCTGAGGAGGCATCTGAGCTGGGTCAGGAAGAATTGAAGGCATAGTTAGGGACCCAGCGGGTGCAAAGGCCCTGGGGCCGTCATGGTTCAGGAGCATAGCTGGAGCAGAGCCCAGCCTGATGTGCTTCCAGGGTGGGCACCCTGGGGCCCTGACTCTTGGTGACTTAGGTCAGAAACCCAGGGTGAAGACTTACCCTTTTCTTACATCCTTGTCTTAGTGGCTCATTTACATTTACCGTCAGCAGCATGCTCCGGATATTTACTCAGAACAACAGAGCGGTCCAGGAGAGCATGGAGCCCGCGCACGGTGCCATCCCTGGAAGGGGTGCTGAGGGCAGGGCCTGTGTGGCGGGGATGTGTCCCTGAGGCCCGAGGCTGAGTGGATTAGGAGTCAGAGACGCTGGGGCCTGGTCTGGCCACAGACAAACGGGTAGGAAGTCAGGGCAGGGCAAGTCTAGGCGCAGCTGATCCAGGAGCACCCACACCAGAGCACGCCCTGGGGCTGACTGTGACAGCGCTTCCTTGTGTGGGGCTGGTGCTCGCGCAGGTTCAGGCCCGCCCCGGGGCTGGGGGCAGCACTGGAGCCCCGGACTCGCTGCCACTGGTCTGACCACTGACTGCGGCAGCCTTCATCGCTCCCGGCAGCAGGGGGTGGCCCACGTGGGGCAGGGACGGCGTCTGGAGCGCGTGGGAGGCGGTGCGGACAGGAGAGAGGGCACCGCGGTGCCAAGCGGCGTGCTGGCTATTTTCCTTTTGTTTCCAAGAAAAGCTGGAAATAAGAATTTTGTAGGCCTGGCGCCGGTGGCTCCTGCCTGTCATCCTGGCTACTCAGGAGGCTGAGCTCTGAGGATCGCGGTTCAAAGCCAGCCCGGGCAGCAAAGCTCGTAAGACTTGAATTTCCAAGTAATTATCAGAAGAGGCTAAAGTGGAGCTGCAGCTCACGTGGTGGAGGGCTAGCCTGGAGCGCAGAAGCTCAGGGACGGCGTCCAGGCCCTGAGTTCTAACCCCAGGACCGCTGTCCCGGGAAGGAGTATCTGGCACCTGGAGACTCCCTTTCTGAAGGTCAGGGCGGTGGCTCAGTGGCTGGGGGGGGGGGTGGGCTGCTGGTCAGTGCTCCAGGTTCAAACCCTGACTCGGACGCTGCCTGCCATGTGGCGCTTGGCGTGGCTCTCCCTTGCTTCATGCCTCAGTTTCTTGGTCTGTTACCCAGGGGTACCCTCCTCTGGGCCATTGCTTGGGACAGCTGGGCGCCCCAGGACCCTCCACACTGCCATTCCTACCCCGCCCCTCGCGGGGTCATCACGTGCTGTGGGAACTGAAGCGGGTCCAGAGTGAGCAGTTGGCCGTGCCAGTTGCCGGGCACAGCCGCTGCTCCCAGGGCCCTGGAGAGGATGCGGGCCGCACCCCGGCGGGTCCCCCGTGGGGTGCCCTGTCCTGGGCTTCCCGCCGCTGTGGGGAGGCCCGGGGAGGGGGCAGCTTTCGCACTGTGGGGGTGTGGCACTGGGCTAGCCGTACGTGATGGGGTCTGGGGGAGAGGAGGCCAGGCTGACCCCGCTGACGGTTCTCAGAAGAGATGGTGGCGGGAAGCTACTACTGGGGCTGACGCGCAGGGAGCCCCTCCTTCTGGGGTGCTGTTGTGGGGGGCTGGGGAACAAGAGCAGGGGGCTGGTAACTGACTGCTGCAGCCTGCCCTGTGGTGTGAGCGCACTGAAAGGCTGACTCCTTCGGTGCTTCGCTTCAACAGTGCATACAGTAGGAGCTAAGTGTGTGCACGTTTCCTGTGAAGCCGCTCTGGGCCACGTTCCGAGAGGCGGGTGCATTAGCGCCGTCCTGTGCCGCGTGGCAGGGAGGCCCCCACGAACCCAGACAGAACACATCATGGCCCTTACCACCTACCTGCAGCCACCAG